GCCGGCTTCGGAGATGAACATGCGCGCGTAAGGACAAGCTCAACAGCTATTTCTTTGCATCTTGCCTGCAGGCACCGGTGCTAAGCGCAAGCAGGGCGGGCATCGCGGCACCTGTGTGTGGCACAACACTCATCAATCCTCGTGTGTGATGGAATTTGAGCATCTGTCTTACGATTGCTCTCGCCCTTTCTGATCCGTTTTCGACCAGTTTTCTTGCCCCCTCCCCCTCCCCCTCCTCCTCTTGCTCCTCCTCCCATGCGAGCTTGCTGGCAATCAGCGTAACTGAGTACTGCCGTGTTCTATCACAGTGCTGCAGCGGCAAGCCGAGGCAGGCGGCGAAGCATTAAAATTAGATGATCACTCGGGTGCCTTCTCCCTTCCAACTTCAGGGTTGCCATTGGTATAAACATCTGCTACCAGAAGCACGGATAGCGACAATAGAATCATGCACCTTGCCCTTGCAGCAAGCATTTATGATTCGTACTTCTCCGCCTCCCTGGGACAGCTAGTGCCTTTGTGGACGTACTTTCACGCTCCTGCAAGTCCTTTTGTGATGCACCGTCCGCTCAAACTCGAAGTGAAGATCAAGTGCACCTGCTTCGACATAAGATGTTACCTGACGCGCTGCGGTTTCTGCAACCTTGTCAGTGGCCACCCTGAATATACCCTGAATGGATCTGCCACTCCTGGATCATCGCACATGTCACCACGGGTGCTCGCGTGCCACGGCAAGCGCCATAGTTCAACACCTCAAGAATGACTGCACTTCCTTCTGTGAAGCAGTTTGGGATACCTCGCCATTATCAGCGTTCGTCTGGCCTTGGATCCCTCAACTCCTTCAGTATCTCTCGGCGATTGGCTACAGGCCTCGATGTCTGTCCGGGACTGCTGAAGCAGATCCATCACCGAGCCGAATCAACTGCTATAGAAACAAGCAAGGTCTCCACGCATCAACCGCACCTGTCTGACCGCATTCAGGGGAAAAAGTTGTCTTTGGAAGTTCATTCCTGCTCCCTCCCGTCCCCATCCCATTCGTTTGACAATCCGTAGCACATCGTATATAGCAGCATTGCAGATTGGGCTGCGGTCCGCTTGTTTTCCTTGCTGCCGAAAACACTGCGGACACACACACACACACAGAAATCACAATTGCGCGGCACTCTGTTTGGTTGCAGGTCTTGTGGTAAAATTTGACCGTGGCAGCTCGTGCTCGTGCTATCGTCGCAGGATTGAAAGCTCACAAGTTGCGTCATCCTGGCGCGAGCCCGTCTTCTTTGTATCGGCCGAGGCGGAGAGACGCTTCCTAATTTAACTACATCTAAATGATATATCGAACATGGAAACTTTGGCTGACCTCCTCGAGACATCCGCAGGTCTGACATCCCCTGTGCGTACAAGGCCGCAGGTTGCAACGGTTTCACGCCCGTCGCGGGCTGTGATATCGAATAGCACGCGCGTGTTGGCAGATTGTGGCATAAAGCCATCCTAAACCGATCGGTGCGAGTGGTTAGCTACACACTGGTTACATATAATATCGCTGCCGAGCATCGGGGTCTCTCCTCACTCTCAGGGGCCCGAGATTAAGGCTAAGCTTGAAGAAAGAGGACCGTGGAAACTCTGCCTGCACCGCCAGTACCCCACTGTTCAAGACTCCCTTCCGCGTGGCAAAATCCTAAAGTTAGAGAGAGGAGCCATCCATGGGTGGCGAGGCTCGAGCCACTGTCGCAACAGCGAAGATTAAGCCTTCACTGGCACTTGGGAAGCAAGCGCCGCTTGCGGATTCTCTTCCTGCACAAGCATAAGAGTAACAGGATGGGAACCTATAGCTGTAGGGATACATATACGCATCGCTTGTGTCAGGGCATACAAGTAGCCAAGCCAAGAAGTTGTTCCCCCGAGGTCATTAGTCTATTCGCTGACAAAACCCTACATACGTCTGCAGCACCTCACGCCGACCCTCTGTGCCTTTGTCCTTCGCACGCATGCTTCGGCTCGGGCATACCGACGCATACACGGGCATGTTGCCCAGCGTCGTGCTTCCGACAACCGATCTCGAAGAGCATGAATGTGAGATTTCTTTGGCAATTTATTGGAGCGCAGATTGCATTATCCGGTTACTTGCGGAAACCCTCTCGAATCTCTCAAATATGATGGTGCATGCAGGAGGCAAGAAACCCCAGTTTCATTGTCATGCCTGCTTGTCCACTAGCAATTGCTAACCGGTGGCTGCTTCACGAAGCGGTTGTTAGAAGTTGGCTCTTGATCGGAATATGACTACAGGACTAAAGGTGATCAACGGGCGAGGCATTCAATCAGAGTCTTGTAGGTCACCACCTCGCGCCCCTGGCACGCAGATGCATTTATCATTTGTCACCGCTGCTTTCGGAATATTTTGATGTCAGTGTGGACGACTGCCTGGTGTAGAAAGGGCTGAAACGACCGGCACCCGGCCGAAGCCCAGCAAGTCTCTGTGGGCGCCAAACTTTCTGCAAACCAGCGGCCCCAAGCCCTGTAGAGAAGCGGCTGTGCCGCTCTGCCACGGCTGTAAAGACATAATACTGCAGGCTTTCAATAATTCTCGTGCTTCTAAAGGTTAATTCTGCAGGAATTTGAAACAAGTACCTCAAACAAGCAACCTGATGTTTTTGTAAATATGAAGCACTGACTCCCCATCTCCACTTGCTAGTGGTCTGACTCTCCGAAGCTGCACCTCGGGATGCTGGATCAATCCTTTGAGGGCGCACCTGGAGCGTGGCTTGCTAGCTGCTAGCAGCTGTCATCTTTCCGGCACAGTTGGATGAACATTGCAGCAACGACGCTACGCGAGCTACATAAACCCGTGGCCACGAACAAAGGCAGACAGTCGCTGGCGGCCCGGCACGGCGCACTCTCGGATGTCGTCGTTGTGGTGCCGAGTCCCCTTGCAGAGTGCAGTTCGCGACAGATCCGCAAAAGCCGCTTGTGGCCCTTCTGTTCTCGTTACCAAGTGCATGGCCGCGGAATGTCCGATGACAGGTTCAGCAGTGCTGTCTAAGTCTTGCCCGGATCTGGGCTCCAAGCCAGCAATGTGGCCATTCCATGTGGGAGTGCTTCGCAGGTCTCTTCGTCAATCGGCAGCCTACGCAGCATCGAGCCTCGAGGATGACGCTCACCAGGCCCTCGCTAATGAGGTGGGCTCGTGACCTTGAGACTAGGGCTAGGGGTATCTTCGATATCTTCTGACGACGACATAGACGACCGGTGCATGCAACTCATGACCTTGCGGGACTCTGCTCGTAGAGGCTTTCGGCGCAGCTCGACTCCCTGCGCGCAGTCCGAATTGAATTTGCTCTCAGGCAGCAGCTCCTGTTGTGTGCCCATCATTCTACCCACGATGGCAAGCACCTCTGCGGCAGTCGCTTGCCACACAAGTACGCCACAATCAGGAAAGCCAGGCCAAAACCGACCTACGCAAGATGTCGGGTGCTATATGCAGCCTGTTCAAGGGCCTTGCATAAATTCGCATAACCTGCCACGCACCAGAAGAGCATGACGTTGCTTCATCGTCCCAAGGATATCGATCCTGAACCCAGGAGCTTTGCAGGACAAACCCAGGCACCTTGAGTGACAAATCATTGCGCAATTCATACATTTGCACTACATGCACGGTAAACTCCGAGAAGGCCTAAACAATAACCTAACTTCAACTCAAGCCCCGGCCCAGTATCGGCAGGGGTACTCCTCACCATCCTCCTCACAAGCGGCACTGGCACTCTCATAGGTAAGTCGAGCACTGTAGCATGACATACCTGAGCTTAGTGGGCGAGATAGAAATGTCGGGAAGATCATGCATGCAGTGATCGTCGATCGAAGTCCTCACGAGTGCGCGCGAAGAGACAAGTGTGAAGCAATGAAGCAGGAGAGACCCTAACCCCCCAGGTACCCACTATATCGGGTACCAAAGCCCCAAGGGCCCGAAAAAGTAGATTATAGTAGGTACCTGGAGGGTTAGAGAGAGAGAGAGAGAGAGAGAGAGAGAGACAGAGAGAGAGAGAGAGAGAGAGAGGGGGTCCTACAAGCGAAGACCCGCCGAGGGATCGCCTTGAACAGGCAGGTCCAACCATTTCTCAAAACAAGCGTGATGTGGACCCATGGCGACGGCGAGCGTCGTGACTCTGTCCGAAAAAGGACGTGAGGGAGTGAGGAGGGAGGAAGGAAGGAATGCGAAATTGAGGATAGAAACACAGGCCAAACAAAGGAAGAGTCGAAGAAGTGGGAAGGACTGCCAAAACACCAACACATTAAGGATGCTTGCAACAAGTGGACAACAATGTTTACATCAACAAGAAGCCAAACATGCAAAAAGGAAGTATTGATTTGCAGCACTGCATTGCGCAATGCGGCAGAGTCCTAGCCGGCGTGACTAATCGCAACTTGCGTGCGAATGTGCAAGACATGCGCTGGAACCCAACAACAGTTAGACGTCAAGTTGGAGCAAGGTGCAGAAGGTAGGGTATGTGTTGGCATACATGCAGTGAGGTGTTGTGTACATGGTTGAGGTATATCGTGGTGTTGTGAAAGCTCTAAAGCACGAGGCGGAGATTCAATGCAGACCGCACGTGGCACCGCAAGAAGAATCCTGCGCTTCCGAAGTCTCGTCTTGCCAGAGTTCCAGAAGCTTCTGCGCTCCACCTACCTCAGCCAAAGCATGCAAGACTTCGCTTGGTGGACTTTTTGCCTCCTGCATTGCTGAGGGAGTCGCTAGTCAGGGAGATGTGTCACGTACAACTAAATCCCCACGCACGACCGCAACCAATCCACTAGAATTCCACCAAGAATCATTTTCCAAGATTTGGCCCCCACATCACAAGCCACAGCAAGCCCGTCATTTACCAATGAAGCACAGGATATGAGAGTGACAACAATGATAGCCATCAAAGTTTGCAACGTTTGAGAGTGCAGCAGTTTGGTGCATCAGACAAGAACTTGCGCAACACGGTCATGCTCGGCATTGGGGCAGGAGCGAATCCATCTACACCGGACATCACTGGACAAGACTGCGGCTAAACTTCATTTGATCGGGGGAAATCTTGCCAGGCTGGACTAAGACTGAGTTCGGCACTTTGATGAGGCCGCGCTGCCACACCGGACTGTCCCTCCGATTGCTGTTGATCCAGTTGTAAACCACCTCAGCAGCCACTTCAGCAGGCATGTTGGGATGTACTGTAGCCTGCACCAGAGCCTCTACTTACTCTAATTCGCCAACGAGTGAGTTGAACCACGAACATCAATGTCGGGATACCTCCACGATCCTTGGGTTTGCTTAGTAAGG